TTATTCCGCCTCTTAAGACAGAATTATTTTCTTCTTAGTTGCAGCTAGTGATGTTAGCAAAGTGTTTTCAGGCTAACATTTTTCTCATAGTAGCTTCATCTGGTCTGTTCCCGTTTGGCTGTGACACCATCCTGGAGAGAAATATCAGCTGTGTTGCTGCCATCAACACCTTTCTTTATAGATGTATAGATGTTGGTGCTCTGCCTCTTTTTCAGTGCAGTCTGGTTTCTCTGACTGTGACTAACTGTATGTGTTCTCCTTCATCCTCTGACATAAGAACTAGCTGTGGAGCTGGTTAACGGTTGCCTTTTATATCTCTGCTTCTTTCTGTATGTCTGCATCTGTCTTCTTGAACCCCAGTCGGCCTCGGGAGATGGCAGTTCACACTGAGCCTGGTTTTGCTTGAGGTTACTTCCTGTTAAAAGGGAGTTTTTCCTCTCCAATGTCTCTACAAGCATGCATGGTGTGAGGGATTGCCTTTCAATTAGTCTATGCAATCAACTGGTTTTCCTTAGATATAAAACTTTGAATCAATTTGACTATATGATTTGGTTGAATTGTAAATTGTCTTGAGATAATGAATTGGCGCTATATAAATAAGCTGAACTGAATTGAATTAGCAGCTGTTCCTTTCAACAGTAGAATTCCTGCTTTATATCCACCAGCCATATTTGTCATTAACTGACATTTTTGTAAACACAAAACAGGACACAAAAGGATACATCTTTACAGTTTCTGCAAACTGCTTAGAAATGTAAATGTTTGTGTTCAATTATAAATGAGAGTTCATTCTAGCCTCACTTTCCTTTAATCTAAACAGTGAATCTACCATTAGCTTAGCTCATAAAAAGTTCAAAATTTAACATTAATCATCATTTTAGAGTATACAACTCCTGCTCTCTGAACACATTTATGACTGAGTCAATTTAAGTTATTCAATGATGACTTCACTAAACCAATCTCTTTATCTCTTAAAGAGAGCAGTAATTAGCATAAAGGTGCGTTCCCAATGTTAGTAGCCAAAAATTAGAGAGAAAACAGTACTTTCTCAAGAGATGGAATTTCCTTAAAAGTAGGCGATCACAGCCAGCTTAATTTGTACCCTTAACAAAAAGGTTGACAGCTTCACATGTGAGTAGGAGAGAGGGTAGACGTGGAGGTGGGCCATACTGGGAATCTTTGTATCAATCCGAGACCAAGTAAATACAGTGTTAGTATCGCCCATAACAATACGTTTTATTTGTAACCTTGATGTATCACAAAACTATTGATGTTTTGCTTTTTACTATATCACTACAGTTGAACGGTGGAACATTAATTAAAAAAAAAAAAAGCTTTAAAGCATTTTAAACTGTGCAAAGGTTTTACAGTAGAACCCAACAGCTACCAAATTCTCTTAAACTTCCTTGACATCATGAAGCTCATCTTTCTTTATTTTTACCCAACAAAACACTTTTAAACAATTTATGTTTATGGATTTATGTTAATATTAACCTACATGAAAATTGGCTCTATTAACCAGTGTGTGACCTGTGAAATTAATCGTTGAGTTTATTTTGGGGTATATGACTAAATATTGGAGTTATTATTTTGCATTTAATCAACAATTATCCATAAAGTTATAGAAAAAAACAAATAAAATACTTAAATATCATAGTTATAATGGGACAAAATCTGAAAATTAACACTTTGCAAGGGAATTTATAAATAATGAATAATATCTGCATGTCATGCATAATAATAACGTGCAGCTTTTGTTTAGGTTTATTTACATTTTTAATGGCCATTTTCAGCAAAATAAATACATGCAAAAAAAAAAAAAACACGTTTACCTTTTTAAAGTTAATATTTCTTATATGATGATTCACCAACTTTTTCTTTTAATTAAATCAATAAATTTCACTTTCTTTGAGCTATAAGAAAGCCGGTATGTTGCTTTATGGTCACTAGGTGGCCTCGTAATACAGAAATTAAACAGCCCTATTATATATTTCTGATTTAAGGAAGTTACTGATTGAAATAATCTTGTTGCATACTAGTTTATTAGTAAATTATTAAGCAAATATTTAATATTTAGTACTGTGTGACTTTAATATTGTAATTGAGTTTTTAATAGCTTTTATTGCATTGTATGTGTTTGGCAAAATATCCTTTTTTAAATTGCACATCCACTTGATTCATTAAGTTTTAACTACTGTACATGACCAGGTCTTCCTTGAAAATAGATTTTATATCAATGGACCTATTGGTGTAAGAGTGGTTGAATACATGAATGGAATTAGTATCCAGGCAGATATTTACATTTTTCTATGTGAGGTCATCATGGCTTTAGTCTCCAATCTGACCTTACACTTACCATACTGTAGGATGTACCAGTTTTTCAAAAAGGCTGATTTGTAATCTTGTTTGGTTATCAAACCGAAAGTATTATCATACTAATTTCTTCAAACCGAAAATGACCAACAGTATAACAATGTTTGTCCCATTAGATAAAACCCAATGTCTGTTACAGCTGGCCTGCTGCTACACATGGTATGCACATTTAGGATTAAAATTCCCACAAAAAGCTTTTACTTCAACTAAATATGTGCCCTCTTTCATACCTTTGACAGGAAAACTGGCTCAGAGCTCGTCTGCTTCTTTTTTAGAAGGAGCCAAATGTGGAACTAGTTTATCAATACCTATTTTAACATAGAATCTATTCATAGATGGGTGCTTCTATGTTCATTTTGTATGTCTGTTTCTGTCTCCTTGAACCCCAGTCAGCTTTAGCAGAATGCCACTCACACTTAGCCCGGTTCTGTTGGAGGTTCCTGGTAGAAGTGAGTATTTTTCCTCTCCACTGTCCCCGCATGCATGCTCTGTGTGAGGGATTGATGTAAAAGCGTCAGCAAATACAAATATCTACTCTCCCCGCGTGCTCATCTAGGAGGAATGTGTCCTGAAAACTGAATTGAACTGAAAGTGATAATTGATCATAAAGGTTAAAGTCTTATTTGAGTTGATACCCTAGTTTTAAACCAAATGTCTAGACTCTGTGTGTTGGCAAACCAGGATTGCAAAGCACAACTTACAACATCAGCTTACTTCCCATTTCCCGCTTAAGATTTCCCAACAGTCACATTTCAAAGTCCATTAAAAAAAGGGGGACATTCAACTACAAAGTAAAATCTTCACATTAAAATAAATGCCCTTCCAGACATTGAGGTGACCTAAAATTCCCTCTGACTCAGTGTGATCATTACAGTCTTATTTGAAATGATCAAGGACAGAACGAACACAGATGGCAATCGCCTGATGTGATGTGGAAGTACATTGCTTAAATAGTTTCCATGCTGAGCCGATTGCCAAATCTGCTCGACTTCCTGCAGGACAGATTAAGGTTCTGCTTGAGCTACGTCCCTCGGTGGGAAATCAAAAGCAGCCAGTTAAAGACTAACTGTCAAAGCATATCAGAAAAAATATGTAGAGCTTACATTATAGGGAAATTTTACAGTTTTTCTTCAAACAACCTTTTGAAAAGGCATTCACGAATAAAAACAGAAAATAGCTTTCTGTTTAATTTTGATTATTACTTTAATATATTGTGGAAGTGTTGGCCTGGTGGGATAGAGCAGTGCACTTTGTGTTCTGAAAAGGTTGCAAGTACCTGGTTCAATCCCCACAGCCTCCACTCTGGGTTGCTGGGCAAAAACCCTTAAGCCCACACTGCCACCCGGGTGCCACACAATGGCAGCCCTCTGCTCCCCAAGGGGATGGGTTAAATGCAGAGTGAATTTCCTCATTGTGGGAAAATAAAGGGATTTACGTTACACAATATGAACTTTTCTACACAGATTTTAAGCCCTCTCACTAAATCAATAATTTTTTCCCCCTTCTACAGTTCCTATTGTTTCTGCAAGGGTGAAGTGACAGATGTCCATTTGAATCTTTTACCCATTTTCACAAAAAAAAAAAAAAAAAAAAAAATGAAATCAGATTATTACAAAGGGGATTGGGCAATTTGTTTAGCCTGACAGTTGTTCGGTTTCTGTCACATAATAATAAAATTCCATTAGAAATAAGCCCAGTAAAATGTATTTCTGGAGGAGGGTTTATAGGCTTGATGTCTTTTACTGCCTTTACCTTGAACTGAGTGTACCTTTCTAATCAAGGTGTAGAAAAAACAATCAGATGCTTAGAAGATAATTCAGTTTTTATTTTCTGTAAATGTACTAAGATAGTAAAAAAGGAGAGATGGCAAATGTGGTAGTTGGTGGAAATTCAGCATTGATATTGAGATTAAGTTGCTGCAGTTATACTTGTTTCTTAATCATGGGTGGAGCGAGATGGGGAAGCAGGGGTTGCCAATGATTGGCTAAGAGTAACCACGGTAACCATGTCCACAAAGGCTGTGTTCGTGTATTATATTAATCTGCACTTGCAATATTCACCAATATTTGTCACCATTTCCCTTATTCCTCTGAGCACGGAGCAGCCAGCTTGTTTGAACCCACAGTGAATCATGGGATACCCAAAGCTACGGAGGACACACCGGACCTGTCCTTCAAAATGGGCAAAAAGACGGCTGCATTTGTTGCCTTTATAAGAAGGAGTCTTCGATTCCGAAAAGGCCACGATGCCACACTGACTTAATTCGCAGATGAATCTGGCCTTTGGAGGACAAAACCGCCGGATACGAACACAGCTAAAGGCTAACCTTGTGGTTCCAACCACCGTTTTGGTTTTATATTTCATTATTTTACCTTTTCATCAGAAAACCTAATCCCATTTGTTCCCAAAACCAAAGGATTACATTTAAGATCTTTCTTGAGTCTTTTTTTTTAATGTAATTGTTTCTCTTCTGAACTGAAAGCCCAAATATTTATGGCACAACCAAGTCTTACCAAACTCTATGGTATTATGTTATTTTTTTTGGTGCAAAATGTGATATCTGTACATTTCCACAGAAAGTATAAGAACAAAAAGTAGAATAAAACCCCACAAACAAAAAGAGCATACTCTTTTAAACTTGTGTTTTTTATTTGATAATACTGAATATTTTGTCCTTTGCCTGGACTTACACAAAGAATCAAAAACATGCAAAGTCCTCTAATAAAACAATGTGTACCTAGTTCTCTACACTTCCCCAAAACCTCACTCTCACGTTACTCCAGCGTAAGAGGTTCATCTGATTAAACATGGCTAAAAACATTTGCTGAAAAACACAAACATTATGACAACTTTAATAATAATAACACATTAAAACACAAAGTTAATGGAACTGGAAAGAGTTTTCTTTTAAAATATGCCTCTAATATATATATATATATATATTAATATATATATATATTAGTTACTGTAGCCAAAGGTGTATAAAACAGCTTTCCAGGACAGCGATAAAGCTTTTATGTAATAATTTGAAAGACAAGTCAGAGCTAACATTAAGCATGTACCGGTAGATAATATTAAACTGCTGTTTGCATTTACAATCATAAGACGGAAATATCAACCCACAAACTCATCTCAATCCCTCCTTCACACATTCAGTCTCATCAAAAGTTTCCAAATACCCAGAACTTTCACATGTCTGCTGTTTCATTGTATTATTTTATTTTGTGATATGCCACATACAGCACAGACCTGCACATGTTCTTTTATCACCAGACAAAATCTGCATCAGAGGTGGATTTGGCGGTCTGGGCAAACAACAGTAAATGTCACATCCGTGTGCTCCGGGTCTTGTCTTTATCCAAATTCATTCTCAAAAAGTGCAAATCTAGTTCTAATGCAGTAAATAATTATCAAGTAACAACAAAAGGATATGCATAGGTACTGTACAGCTACATAACATAAAAAGGGAGGAAGATTTAAAGATAAGAAAAGAAAGAAAGAAAGAAAGAAAGAAAGAAAGAAAGAAAGAAAGTTTAACTTTAATTTAGATGGGTAATCCTAAACTACATTTTCTGTTTAAAGGAAGCATGTTGTGGGTGTCTAAAGTTACCAGCTACAGTGAGAAAATGAGAAAAGTGTTAATGAGACATTTAGATCTTAAAATCAAGAAAGGCAACTTGAAATTTGCTTTGGAATAAAATGCAGAATGAGGTAATAAAATTAGAAACAAAATGGAGAGTAAATGATGGTCTGAGAGAGCAATCAATGACTCATAGGGCACTGCTGCCCTGATTAAGAGCTATTTTTTGGGAATGGGAGAGCTCCATCTCAGCAAGAATTTATTGCCTCCTAACGCCAGCCTCAGGAGGAAGTTGCACCATCATTCCACCAGTCTATCCTTGTGTTCAAATTGTCCACTCTTTTCTTTCTAAGGTTCACTATAAGCATTTCAGCCATTTTGTAAAGCACAATACAGGGAATTACACTCCAATAGGAAAAATGAGTAATTAGCGACTAAGGTTTTACCTAACAGAGTAAGTTAGCTGTGAACATTAGCATTATTATCTCAAATGTTAGCAGGATTTAAGAAAAAACAACATTGGTAACTTTCAAAGGTTTATTTCTAGAGTAGCATTAACACTTTTCTTTTGAAATAAAACCAAAGTTAATGTTAAGCATTTAGCGTTAAAATTAGATATTAGATTGTAATCTAGTGCTAGCTGCTATCGCTAGGATGGTAACTGTTAACGTTAGGCACAGCTAGCTATCGCTTTGAATGTAAAATAGCACGCTGACTCTAATTTTGTTGAGTTTTTGGAATTTCATGAAGTAATTTCATTTAAAAAACTGAGGAAACAAATAGCAAATAATTTGCCATTAGAGTTAACATCACTTACTGCTAACTTAGCAGTTATTTGCCCTAGAAATCATCTGCAGATTTAGAGTCTTAAATTTGTGCTGAAATATAAGTTATTAAGTCTAAACATTCGTTATCTCACAAAATGACTTTTTTCTATGACATGCTAAACTGCTTTTAAGGGTAATATTTGGAATTGAGGAATATAGAAATTGCCTTTTAATGGGTACTCTGATTTCAGTACAAAAATGTATTTGGTAAATAAGTCAGATAATCCTAATTTCCATTATGTTTTTGTCTAAAACAGTAAAAAAATAAGGGTATTACTTCATATTTGGGCAGCTATATCTTACTGAGGTTCATTTATGAGATAAAAAGCTGTAAATACACTTGAAAGCGAACCTTTTATAAAGAGGGAGTGAACATTTCCAACACAGCCTTTAATCTGATGGTGCCATTTACTTTTTTCATGAAGATGCTGCATCCAAGGACAACCTCTGCACGTTTTAATCATGGGAAACTTTAGAAATAAAGTGGTCACATCAACAAGAGGCTTAAAGTTATTTTCAGAACAGCAGCTAATTTCTATTACTATAGCTTAACGTTTTTAAATAGCCTAATGTTATTTTTCAATTTCAATTGCCTTGTTTCCGTTTTTTTTTCTCTGTCAGATTGCTGACTTAAGGGTCCTCTGCATCAATAAACTCCTTCTTAGGTGGCGCTACCCCACGGTACCAAGAGCAGGAGCCATCCGCTCTCTTGACGCAGGCATAGTGGTTAGCCTGGCGTCCGTGCACCTGCTTCTCAATCATCAGGTCCGTCCACAGACACTCTTCTGGAGCAGAGATCTCACAGGGGAGGGAGGGACAGCGCACAATCTGCAGAAACACACAAAAAAAATGAAAAGTATGTACTGAGAAAACCTGAGATTTTGCTTTTTTTTTTTTATTATAAACACCTCTAAAAGGTCTCCAACATTTTCTAGATATAAGTTTTAGAGAACGATATATGCAGTTAGTGTGAAAAGGCATTTCTTTCCAGACTTAATCAAGATAACAGTCAAAGCAAGCACCATTCCTTATGGCTAGATAGTCAAGAGCCTAGAAATTAAATGCAATTCTTTGTTTTAATGATCAGTAAAACATAATCACCCAAATTGACAGAAACTTACAATGAAACAAATCTGAGTTTTTTTAATAGAATTTAAAAGTTGCCGCATTTAACAGAGATTATGAGAAACAATGTTTGTTGTGGCGTTTTTTTTAAAGTACAGTGGCCGAGGGGTGCAAATGGCATTCAAAAAAGATTATTTCATTGCAGATTCAAAAATGGGTCCTAAACAAAATGAAACCAGTGAACACAAAAAAAGAAATAGACCAAACATACAAAAAAAAACACACATGCAAAGAAAAAATACTGAAAAGAAGAAATATTGCAATCACAGAAAACAGAACAGGAGAATGGAAATTCCCGCAAGCACAGACCATAATTATTAGCCTACTATAAACGAATGTCTTCTTCAAAAACATTAACAAGATCTCAACCAGAGAACACCTGATGTGAAGATTAGTAAAGGTGAGTTTTCTTATGAATCTTTTTTTAAACACCATTCTCTCTGAACATCCAATTCGTTACTTTACTACTACTATTTATAAGTTGACGATTGTCTCCCCCTTGTGGTCTGGAGCTAGTTATTGAGAGCTTTTTTTTTTTTTTTTTTTAAAGGTTTTTGCTATTTGTTGCATGTATTTTGTGTGTTAACTTTGTGTAAGTATTTATTTTCATAATCGTACCTTCTCAATTTTGTCGCCCTCAACCTTCTCTGCAATTCTAATTTGCAAGTTTTCTTGTTAGTCTCATTTTAGTGTTTGCTAGTCTTGGTTTTATTTTTTTCTGTACATTAGGGCACCAAAGAGACTACATTAATCCTCACACAATTTTTCTGGAGGGTTTCAAAAGAATCTACTCCTTTAAAAAATAATAAATCAACTAGGGCTGCAACTAACGATTATTTTAAAAATCGATGAATCGGCCGATTATTTTTTCGATTAATCGATGAATCGGACAAAAAATATTTTTTTATATTAACCTCTTTATTCCAAAATAAACATTTTAGAAGGAACAAACAAGCACACAAGTACAGGTTGCTCATTAACTGTACTGGTGCAATATGAAAAATAAATGTTTGTGTTAAAACTACGCAAACTTACATGAGAAATGTAGCTGTACATCCACAAAATATAGGGTAGTTTGTTTCATAAAGCACAAAAAAGACAGGCATTTTTGTTTTTAAAAGCCCCTAAGGGGTTCAAACAATATGTCCCCCCATTTCAACAAATTAGTTTTTTTTAGACTAATAGAGTTCTGCCTTTTAAGACAGGAAAGTATAGCAGTTAAAGTTGCTACTTGAGAAAATACTGAACCATAGAGATAAAAATAGCCCTGTGGTTCAAATTATAAATTGTATTTGGAATAAAAATGAGAGAACTAGGGGTGCTAAAAAACACCTCCTCCAAAGACAGATATTTACATGGGAATGTGGCAGATAATTAATTGACATATTACTGATCTTGCTGGATTTTATTCTGCTTTACTTCCATAAATTGCAGGATCTTCTTTACTTTATCTTTGCCAGAAGATTTAAACTTTAAAAGCCTTGCCCTCATAATTTGCAAGTTAATTTATTTATAAAGGCTATTTTAATTATTGTGATCAATTTGCACCGTCAATCCCGGTGCATGTGCGCTTCATTTGTTGTCTGGACGCTGAAACATCCAGCGGGTCTGACAGCAGCGCTGAGAAGGACTCCTGCGGGAAAACGGGGTTGGGATGGGGGAGGCGCCCCACGGCAGCAGCTGCTGCTGCAGGACAAGAGTAGGAACGATACATGCTTTCACTTAAGAGTCTCCAAAAGCCGCCAGTGACACCGTAAAAAGTCGCCAGATTTGTCACTAGTCGCTTTTTAAAAAAAATAGTCGCTGGAGGGGTCTGAAAAGGCGCTAAATATAGCAACAAAGTCGCTGAGTTGGCAACACTGCGCACCTGCAGCGCTGGCTCGCTCTGCCGTATATTTTTTTTCTCCCCCTGTTTCAGTCAAGTGGTAGTGATGACGGCGGCGGCTGATGACGCATTAATCGCGCGACACAACTAATCGATGATGAAATTCGTTGCCAACGCTTTTAAAAGTCGATTTTTATCGATTTTATCGATTCGTTGTTGCAGCCCTAAAATCAACACCAATTGTATTCAATCATAACTTTGAAATTAATTGTTTGTTGTTATGATGCATGTTCTGTTTTCGCACTGCTCAGTTGTGTCTGGGTTTTTCCAGCAGGAACAAAATACCTGCTGCCTTTTTTGCTGTTTTGTTTAGTCATGCTGGGAATTAAAGAGACACAGATGGTCCTCTGCCGGCTTACCTTGCAGTCACAGCCCATCTGGTAGCGCTGGCTGAGGCTCTTTTTCTGGGTGGCGCTCAAGGAGTCCCAGAGCATGATGTAATCACAGAGGGTCACGTGCATGCGTCCGCCTGTCTCGGCCTTGCCTGGAAAAGAACGAATCGTGGCAAGGGGCATCAAAACAGCAGATGTGAAAGAACATTTTAGACAAGTTTAGGCAGAAGAGCGCTGGATGTTCCCATTTAATGAGCATCAGATAAGTGATTAGTTTATATAACAGATAAAGAAGCTGCTGCTTTCCAGACTGATGCCTGCAGGCACCTAAATAAGCACCTTTACCAATGTCTGTGCCGCCCACACAAGAGGCACTAGACAAAACAAGAAATGTCGAGCAGAGTTTACGGATCTGCTGAGATGCACGCCCCTTGGACAATATATCAGGAAAGCACATCTCAACTTGCTGAAAGCTTCACCTTGTGTGTCTGCACACAAGGCTGACTCACATTCTGCTGAAAATCTTCCAACTTTTGACCCTTCAACCAAAATAAGATGAATAGCTTTTCAAAGATGCCCCTCTCAGCAGAAAACCAACTTTCTTTGCTACTGTTAGAGACGTTGGAAGGAAACGCTGACTTTAGCAGTTCCTCCTCTTACAACTCCATGTAATTAGAGGGGGACGGATGATTGCGGGTGCATCTCTGTGTGTGATGGAGAAACCAGAGCACGAATAACGTCACGGTCTTCTAGGTCTCCTCTGCTCGGTCCGCTGTCTTATTCAGATGCTGTTGTTCCTCTAATTCATGACACCAACCTCTCTGAACATGAAGGCATTACAGTATGGGAACATTTTTTCAGGCTCCTTAAACTTCCTCAGAGTATAACTACAAAGTTCTAGTGATTGGGGTAAATAAACAGGAGTTTATAACTAAAAGGGAAAGGTATTTTCTACAAATAATACTAAATCTGAAAAGTGTGGTCATTAATTTGCATTCATCCAACCTGATTCAACATTTTATAGCGCCACCTTTCTCTGCACTTTAAGCGGCACTTCTTTTGGCACGTTTGAATAAGCTTTGGTTATCTAGCAATTTAAATGTTTACACTTTTGACACTTTTTCTTCTTTTCTTAGTAGCTCGAAATGTATCAGATTGCATTGAGAGTATTTGTTAACATTGATAAAACCTTAATTTTTGATAAAGCTTAAAGCTATAGTGGCTCGGGTTATTCTGATATATTTCTTTCATTATGCTGCTATAGGCTTAGATTGCTGGAGGACATAGGGAACAGTTTTCATCAATCTGCTTCATACTAGCCATCTATTCCCAGTATTTATAAGTTCAACCCTTAACTTTATGCTCTCTATGCTTTTTATTGTCTTATTAGCTCCATCTGGTCCTGTGTGTTGGATACATTCCAGAAGCTGATTTGTATTGGGATGAAAATATAAATAAAAGCAACAGTGGGACAGATCTTATTTTCTTTGCTTGGTTTTGCTAGTGTTTTTTGGAGGCCGTTTTTGAGTGGTCAGTTGCAAATGATCAGAGTTTTGCTAATAAGTTTGGCTTTGGCTTATTGAATGTCTTGTTGGCTTATATTAGAAATGCTTCACTCGGTGCTGCTACATGTGTTGTTGAAAAAAGGCCCACCAAAACACAAAGTTGGTCATTTTGGCTATCTGAGTGCTTTTTGGCACAGTGTTGGAGCTGTGGTCAGTGGATATTAGAATTAAGGAAACAGTCTTGTAAAGGAGTTTCAGATGAAGATCTGGACATATGATGAGTGTGAGTCAGTCTCAGAGTTAGTCAGCTAGAAGCTTATTATTATTGTTGTAAAATGATGATATTTTCTTTTTTTTATTACATTTTTTTTATCAAAAATATGAATCAAAAATATTACATTTTACTGAACACAAATGTATATAAATAATTGTTTTATAAATTTTGACAGGCCAAAAATATTTTGTTCTAGTCTCAAAAATGAAGGAAAACAAGGGTGAACATCAGTCAAACCTTTGAACGGTTTTGCTAACCTAAAGGAGCGATAAATGAAATTTTACCACGAGGTTTGGCTGTTGATTTCTATCTCTACACCAAAACAAGATGTGTGTCACTACCACACTATAGCTGCAACTCCACTCTCTTTGTAGAGAGAGGTGATGCTTCTGACAGATCGTGTTTCGGTCTACACACAGAACTCAATAGCAAGCATGAGGAACTTATCACAGTTAAATCTCTATGTAAGCAGAGCTCATCATTACATCCCCAATAATTACAAGAATAGATTGGTCTTTCATTAGAAAACATTGACAAAAGGAAAGAGTCACACGCTCTAATTTGCCTGTCGAGTAAAATATGTTCTATGAAAAAACAGCAGTTGCTAAGAGAAAATAAGACTGAAAGCAAAACATAATGTGACTTCAGACGGGTAAAAGTAAGAGGGCTTAATATTATACCCTGTGGATTTCCAGGGTGCCATTTCTAGAAAGAGGCATTTACCCCTTAAAGCTTCCCTGTGTATTAATATAGACACAATAATTACACCTGATTCTAGTTGTTAAACTATCAGAAGAGACACTGCATTATAGACAGCTACTCAAAAGGCCCTTAAAGACTCAAGTGTCCCACGGTAGAAGATCAGTCTCCACAGGGTTTAGACAGGAACGTCTCATTATCTATAATGGCATAAACAGTTTCCTCCCCCAGCATGCTCACTAGTCTTTATCTACCCTGCATTTTTTCTGGTTTTGCACACCTGCATGTTCCTATGTTAACATTAAAGCTGCAAACAAGAAAAACACAAAATATGTTACAAGGTTTAGTTATCTCTATCACTTTAAAAGGCACAGATCCAGTCTAAAGTTGAGGTGGTACTACCTTCTTTAAGTATGTGCTTATTGGCACGCTAGTTGTATAGCATCTAATCCGCATGAAAAAGGCATCAACACTAATTACGTGCACGAACCTGAGATTAGGTACTCCTTCTTCCCAGTTGCATCAAGGGTAACACCACAGACAGCAGAAACTGGTGCAGTGAAAACCGCCTCAATGTCCTGGTCAGGTCCTTTAAACATCTAAAACAGAAGGAAGCATAATTAGATTAGAGAAAGGAACCAAGAGACGAGTACTTCAACCTTTTCTTCTGCAAATATTTGCTACATTGTAGAGCAAGTCAGACCTTTATTTGTTTGACATCATACTGGATCCTCTTGATGGGATTTCCATAGATATCATTCCCAGAATCCACCTCTCTTACCCCGACCACCTTAGCACGGATCACTGGTAAGAGACACAGGGATACAGAGTCAAACCCAATGATTTAACTCAGAAATATAGATATGCACAGATTACCTACCCAATCTGAGAAAGTATAGCACTTTATTTTGGTATTTTCTAGGTGTGGATAAGTATGGGAAACGAGGAGTGTGGAAAAGCATGTATTTCAAGCTTGTATTTTCTACTCTGTTTTCTAAGTTTTCACATTTCTTCTTTTCTAATTTTTGTTTTGCTAAACCTCTCCATCCTTTTCTGAACTCCTTCATTGTGTCATGATGGTATTCTTTCCTTCATTTCTTAGGTCTTTCCTTCCCTTTTCATCTTTATTTTCCATCCATCTCTCCTCACTCATGTCATTCCTTATTTTCTCCCTTCTGTTAAAGCTTCCAGGTTCCGTACTTAAATCTGACTCTGTATAAATATAGGCTATGAATACAAATTGAACTTTTAAATATTGATATAAAAGACAAAGGACTATGGAAAGATGAGTCTGAGAAGTATGAAACTCTTTGTATAAAAGTGTGTGAATCTATGTCTATTTATCTAAGACAAATACATTCAAATATTACCATGAAAATCGATTTATCACATTAAATTAAAAAAAGTGGAATAATATATATTTTGAACAATTACAAAGCAAAACATTTTTTTTTCCTTTCTTTTACTTGTTAAACAAGTAAACATGTCCCTTATGACCAAAGGAGACTTGTAGTTTCATTGCAATTCAGTGCTTTAAAGCAGTGTTACCCAACCTCTTTTTTTTGACTTATGTACCCTTTTCCATCTCAAATAAAAAACAACATAAATATTTTGCCTGGAAGTTGATAAGAAATCAAAATATTCAAAAATAAAATCATATTATAAACCTGTACTTATCAAACTGGAGTTCCTCTGAGTAACTCCTTTATAATCATGTTTAAATTATATGAATTAGGAAAAAAATACAGAACAGAAATTATAGTAAGACGGATTTAATTAGTTTGACTTTGTTTTCATCAAGACAGCTGAGCTGCTTTATTGAGCTTCAATAGCTCAGTGTGAAGAACAGCTGATCCCAGGCTGTTCTCTACATCCAGTCTTTTCCTCTGCTTGGTTTGGATGTGTGTCAAAGCTGCAGGTGAACTCAAACATATAAGAAAAACGTACTTTTTGGTTGATAAAGGCTTGTTTAATTTTTCAATTAGGTCCTCACAGAGCAAAACAGATCCAAGCCCCATTTTATTTTACTACTTAAAAAATAAAAAATATTTTCATGTACCTCTTGCAATACACCCGCGGAATCACAGCTTTAAAGAAGCAGGAAGATTTTAAATTATTTTCTTTACAAACAGTAACAGTAACATTTCCATGTCGGTAGTTAAGGTCCTGGCAGTATTTTTTTTCTCCTATGAGACTAAACTGTGTTTCATTACAGAAACAATCCAAGGCACATAACAGTGTTCTACCCTACTGAAAATAAAATGGAGTCCTAACTGAATTTATTAGTTTTATTTGACTTTATGATCTGGTGAACTGTAAAGTGCCTTGAGATGACATGTGTTGTCAATTGGCGCTATATAAATAAACTGAATAGAATTTGGAAAATTTGGTTTTGAATTAATAACCCATGGGTTTCTTGCTTTGAGACTGAGATATTGTCTCCAGAGATCCAAAATGAAAAAGCGCAACAAAATATTTTATACCAAGAGGGATAAGACACAAGTAGCCTTCAGAATACAATATGAATGTTGCTGTTCACTGAAGTAGGAGCTAAAGCTACAGAACAGATTTCACTGCCAAATGTTTAGATATGTTAGCATAAAGCCTTACTTATACTGTTAACAGTAATAGCAAAGCTATGCTTAGGCAATTAGTGTCAGGAAAGTTTATACAGCATATAATACGTACAATATTCACAAGAATGTTTTTGCCTGCTGACCAAAACTGGTCCAAAAAAGAACTAAGTAACTTATAGAAATCAAAATAATGGATAGTAAATGGAGGGAGCAGCAATGCAAAGGAAAAACCAGCCATTTACAGCAGAACATATCGGCTGTTCGATGTCTCGGCCTATCACTAGTACTGATTCCCTGAGCATGAAGCATGAGTATGAAAAAAAAAACCCAAACCCTTACATCATCCTTCCTTCACTGGTTTGTCACACAATAACTAAGAAGAGTAAAGCTGTGTGGTAACAAAGTGAAGAGGGTTCTATCTTAAAATTCTAAAATATGGTTAAAACAAACACTTTTTAAGGTGTAATATTTATTAAATTACTAAAAGGGCAGATAACAGATAACAAGTGACTAAATGTACCTTTAAAGCATCAAAATTTTCAGTTTTCAATTTTAAAAATGGATTTGAATGAGAGGCTGCCTATTGCTCAAACTGAAGAAATGTATTCCTCTAAAGATGTTCTTTAAAAAAATAAAAAGTTAGATCATCAGCATAACGGCTGATTATTTCACAAATTACCCTCCAGATGGTGAAAATGATGCAAGATTTTCCTAAAGGATTTAAGGCCAGAGATTTAATGACGGGCTTAATCCTGTGCTAAACATTTAGAAGATTACATTCTTAGAAACAAACATCTAGACTCCTACGTTGTCTTCTGGCCAAAGTCTCATAAACCACCATGTGTCCCAGCAGCTAATTATAAACTTTGTGCAACCAACACTTCCTCTTAATAATCCCTCAAACCTCTGATTCTCCATTCAGGCTAATAACAGAGTCCAGAACACCCTAAAAACCACAACAACCTGAACTTGCAGCAAAACAGAAGCAGGAAACAATTGCAGGATCAAATTAAAAAATTGGACTCGCAGACTGCAGCTGAGGGAACGACTCGGCTGTAAGTGTGCCTCTTATTGTGTGTGTTTTAATAGCCCCACTGACTTCAAGCTTCAGCTATGCTCAGAGTATTTATTTTAGAATGGAAAATATGAGCAATAAGACTGTGGGTGTCTGTGTGTTTGGTGGTAGTGGCTACAATTAGCACGAATAGAGGATATGAACAGAGATAAATACACATACATTATCGTCTTGCTATATATATAGTGATGACCACGTCCCCATAACTATAATTGATTTTCTATTGTTTTCAACCTTTTCTATGCCTGATTATAAACCTAAACAAGCCATTTTGAGTGCATTCACAACCTTAACCTGAACTCTCTTCACACCTTCGTTCTAAACTGTTAGAAAAAAAAAAGAAGTGTAGACGAGCAATGTGTCCTCACTTTGGTACAAACAGTCCTTGCACTGGTGCCAAGCAGGAGCACACAACTAACGTCTGTTTTAGGCTCAGTTTACTCCGTGCTTGGAGGTTGTTTTTTTTTTGCATTCTTTATAATTTAACAAATTTAATGCACAAGTTTATGGTTAGAATATACGGTTGAGCTAAAAAATGAATCATACTCCTCTAGGTTTTTTCTTTTCAGTTTGTCTGAGAAAAATAATAGGATTGCTCTGAAGAGAAGATTATAATTTATAGGCTTCTTATTTATGAGCAGTTTGGCCTTTTTTTGGTTAAAGAAAAAGTTGGGGGTTGGGTGGAGGATATGGTACGATTGGTGCGGGGTCTTTTGTTTTATGATATTTAATATGCAGAAAATTCTACTGGTTCAATGGTTACTTATTTGCCTCAAAGCGGAGTGAAATTTTTGATTGGGTACAGCCTGTCTAAGATAAGGAAAAAAACAGACATTATACATGGAGGACGCAGTGTCCCGAGGCCTTGCTCGGCACCGCGAGGTTAGGGGAAAAAAACAAAAAAGGATTACAATGGGTGGGATAAGGGGAAAAAAATCATGTCAGTTTATGCTTAGTGGGATACACTCTGAGATCATATAGGACAGTGTGGCCGAGCGGTGGCCCGCGCTGGATTAAGTCTCCAGTCTCTTCAGGGATATGGGTTCAAATCCCACCGCTGCCATCATCTTTGACAGAGATGGTAAATCACCCGTCCAGCAAACAAGAAGCCTGGGTTCGTATCCATTGGCGCCGCCAAAAATGTTTCATGGGGCGGCGAGGTGGGACCACTAAAAATTTTGGGGTGGGCACACTGAAACTAAAAGCCATAATTTCGGGGTTTGAATCTACTATTGTGGTAAACCTGCCTGTAGAAATCATAAAGACTTAAGTAAACACCTACTCATATCTTGGTTTATTCTGTGATTTTTAATGTTACGTTGCTGGCTGTGCATAATGGGTGAGATGCTAAATTGATGCTACTACAATTAACCCTGGCGAGTGGGGTGGCCAGTTAGTGGCCACCTCCAGGGGGTGCCACTACTCGTATCCCAGCTAAGGGAAATGAGCTGCCTGTGTGTGTCATTAAGACCATTCAATTCCTGCTTTGGGGAGTGGCGGCCTAGTGGTTAGGGCATTGCTCTTAGGGTATCCTAAGATTCTGCGTTCAAGCCTCACTCCCACAGACTGCCACTCTAGCTCCCTGAGCAAGACCCTTAACGCCACACTGCTCCCCGGGCGCTGCACAATGACAGGTTTGTTTGCTCTTTTGCATTCCCCAAAGGGATGGTTTGAATGCAGAGAGTTAATTTCGTTGATCTGTACTTGTGACAGTGTAATGATAATAAAACGCTGGAAAAAGCTGGAGATTGCCAAAAACCTCAGCACAAAGAAGCAACACAGATAGAAAATAACTTCTTGCAGGAGGAACGGCAAAGGCGGTATGAGGGGTGCATATGTTTGTATCTGTGAGTAAAGCCATGCTTTTGTAACCTTGTGGGGAGGATTTCCAGTAATGTGCTACATTTTGGGGACTTACAGGTACATGTGGAGACAAACGACTGGTCCCCACATGTAGTTCCCTTCTTAGAGACATTATGCCATTCACTCCAGCCCTTTAGGTGACTGTAACACCCTTTTGCCACAGTACAAAAAGGAAGAGAGCGATGTAGGTAGCACACACTTGCATGCATGTGAGCTGGAAGTTAACATCAAAAACAAATTCCTGACACTCTGAGCGAGAGCAAATGATAAAGAAAAAAAAAAAGGCACAG